TCATAACAACAATCATGCAATAACATGCAACTCATGACAGATAGCAATGCATATCAATCATCTAATGCATCGTCATGCATATACCTAGGAGATCTCCCTAACAGTAGAGCCGTATAAGTGACATCTCAATCATACCGAAATCACCCCAGCCATTTTCACGTCCAATGCGCTCACTTAGTCACAGTTAAACAAGATATAAATCCTCACTCGAGTTTACTCGGATGATGTCACTTACACAATTAGAAGTCCGGTTCCACCGTCAGGTATAGCACAGCTGGGTACAGGCTTACCACGACCTTGGCATGCATTATCAAATCACTTGTGAAGTTCGCCCACCGACTATCCGCAAGGAACCACACCTTTCCCAGTACTTGGTTAAGGGAATAACCCTCGACCTCATACTCCGCTCAACCACTAGCTAAGGACTTAGAGGAGATTCACCCAAACTAGTGGCCTACCTGAACACCACTCTCGCGTGCTCCAACACACTTCGCGCATCAAATCACGTGACCCAACTCCGCGGCCGAGCACGCTTCGGCCGAACACTCTCAACCCGAGCACTCTCGCGTGCTCCAACACACTTCGCGCATCAAATCACGTGACCCAACTCCGCGGCCGAGCACGCTTCGGCCGAACACTCTCAACCCGAGCACTCTCGCGTGCTCCAACACACTTCGCGCATCAAATCACGTGACCCAACTCCGCGGCCGAGCACGCTTCGGCCGAACACTCTCAACCCGAGCACTCTCGCGTGCTCCAACACACTTCGCGCATCAAATCGCGACCCAACATTCCGGGGTCGACCACACTTAGGTTGAACACGCTCAAGCCGAGCACTCTTGCGGATTAAATACGCGTATCAAATCGCATGATCCGACTCCGAAGCCGAGCATGCTTCGGCCGAACACTCTCAAGCCGAGCACTCTCGCGGATCAAATACATCGCGTATCAAATCGCATGATCCGACTCCGAGGCCGAGCACGCTTCGGCCACACACTCTCAAGCCGAGCACTCTCGCGTGCTCCAACACACATTGCACATCAAATCGCGTGACCCAACATTCCGAGGCCGAGCACGCTTCGGCCGAACACGCTCAAGCCGAGCACTCTCGCGGATCAAATACATCGCGTATCAAATCGCATGATCTGACTCTGAGGCCAAGCACGCTTCAGTCGAACACTCTCAAGACGAGCACTCTCGCGGATCAAATACACTTCCGCGTATCAAATCGCATGATCCGACTCCGAGGCCGAGCACACTTCGACCGAACACTCTCAAGCCGAGCACTCTCGCGGATCAAATACACTTCCGCGTATCAAATCGCATGATCCGACTCCGAGGCCGAGCACGCCTAGGCAGAGCACTCCTGAGCCGAACTCACACCAAGCATTAATCCGCGAAAAACATGAATTTAAACCCCCTTCGGTCGAGCATACCATTCGGTTGTGTTTATATTACTAGGCGTTAATGAATATGACAAAATTAGAAAGTAAAATATTCCATTAAAGTATGGCCAATCAGTACGGCTACTTACACAAAAAATCATCTTTGTCCACGACGCCAATGGCCGATCACAAAAGGCACTAATGGCCTGATTACAAGCAAGCAAAAAATTCTAACCCTAACCTACTACCACGAGAATCAACCTCTTACACCGCGGCCGAGTCCTTCGAATTCCCATCGCCGACCACATCAATGATCGGCTCCTCCTCCCTTGCCGGTGGGGCCTCTTCGTCAGGCTGGGCACCCTGAGGGAACTCGGCGTAACTTATGAACTTTCCACCGTAGAAATCCCGACTAACATCAAAATTGAAGTCAGCCGGGACCTCACAAAAGTAGAAGGCCTGTCGCATAGCATGTTGGAAGCCGGCATCATGCTGGTCGAGGAATTTCTCGGTGGCCTTGGCTTCGAACTTGGTAGCGGCCTCATTTAGCCGAGCAATCTCGGCAGCTGCAGCGGTGGCCTCGACTTTCATTTTCTGGACCGTCAACTTCAAGTCGTCGGCCTCTCTCCTATGGGCGTCGGCTGCCCTCTTCAGTTCTTCGGCCGACTCGGTGACTTTGCATTGGTGGTCAATGCCTCCTTCAACGTCACCTCAGCCTCCTTAAGCCGCCCCTGCAACCTCTCCTCGGAGACAACCGACCTCATCATAACATGCTTAGCAATTAGGGAGGACGTTTGGCACAAGGAAATTCGAACCGGCCATGACCACCGAGGTTAGCAAAACCGACTACACTAGGAACATGCACACTACTACTAGCGGTCGGAAGCAACATCTGCCACTCCACGTCGAGAACCACAACCCTATACAATTAAAACGTCTTCGTCTTTCCCATCATCGACGCTGCGGGGGTTGTATACCGTATGGTGGATGACTAGGCCGAATATCCAAGTTCGTGGCCGACTAGGCCGAATACCCAAGTTCGTGGACGACTAGGTCGAATACCCGAGCCCACCGACCACTCACAATCTGAACGAAACGTGTCGGTGTGCTCGGCCAAGTCACGGATTTACGCCAGGATAATTATGGAGAGGTTAATTTTTGTAATGCACCGGATTAGCCCCCTAATTTCCCGGGGCCCAGTCCTTAATCGCGACCCAATAAGAATCACTATAAATAGGACCCCAGCAAGGTACGTAACTAACTTTCAACTACCACATTTATTACGCCGATCACTTACTTGAGCGTTGGAGTGTCTTTGCAGGCACACCCCCCTCACATCGGACTACCCGGATAGGAACGAGAAGACCGAGACCCAGGATCAGACCCGCTACAACAAGGATAAGTGAAGTGTGTATCCTAACACAGGAACAATTGTTTTTTTTATTATTTTTGTCTTTGATTCTTTTTAAATTTGAATGTATGAATTTTTTTTTAAATCTTATCAAATATCAAAACTTCACAAAATCCCACAGAATTCATTAAAATCATGATTTAAAAGTCTTGCAGAATCCATTAAAATCCTGATTTTAAGTCTTATAAAATTCTGTAAAATCTTAAAAGTCATGAAAATCCTGCAAAGTCTTTTAAAATCCGCAGAATTTTTTTAACTAAAAAAGTCTTTTAAAATCCCAACCCAATACACCCCCTTAAGATTTTGATTTAAGATTATTAGAAAATAATTTTTTTTTTGCATACCAAAACCCCCTAAAAGTATATTCATATTTAATATTTAAACATAGTTTTTAATATAATAAGTAGATCCGCTTCATGTAATATTTTAATAATATATATTATCTGTTTTTGAAATTACACAAGTAACAGATTTATTAAATATATAGTTATTATAAATTAGTTTCAAATTATTTTTTCATGAATAAATAATTTTATAATTTCTTTTTCATGAATTGAATAAATATACCTCAATATTTTTTGTTTATCATTTAATTTTTACGTTGAAGGAGAATTAAGTTTTAAGTTTGCCAACTAAAATATATTTAATGAAGTGGACACCAAAATTTTATTTTAGAAAGAAATATTAGAAATCTCTACAATGTCTACTAAAAATAGTACCTAAATAAAATTATTTAAAAAAGTTATAGAAATTCATATTTAATGTATAGAAGTTGATTAAAATTTATAATAAATTATATATATATATATATATATAATGTTTAAATATATAAATTATATTTAAAATAAGTATACATAAATATTTAATTTATTTATTGATAATTATGTAATTATTAATATTTAATTTATAAATAATAATGTTAAATAAAAAATAAATTAGAAAATATTCTTACAGCTCCTCTCATTCGAGAAAATCTTTAAAAATATTATTGTTTGAAATAGGAATTCGTGTTTAATATATGAGGATAATTATAATTTGACTATTTTGAAAAGTTGAAAACTTATTAAAATTATTTAAATACAAAATTCAACAAAAAATGTTACATTATAGTTGTTTCATTTCATTAAAGTAAAAAATATTAACAAATATCATTAAAATGTAAAAATAAAATAAACTTTAATAATATTATTAAAATTGACAAGGTTAAAAAATAATTAGATATAAGGAAAATAATAGAGAAAAATAGAGATATAAGAAGGAGACAAAGAGGAGAGGAAGAGGAAGAGAGAGGTAGTGAAAGTGAGAGAAGAATAAATAAAATTAGAAGGACAGAAAAAAAAAAAGAGAAAAAAACAAATATTTTTTGTTTTAAAAATACATATTATGATTTTTATATACATTATTTTTTTTTCTTAACACACAAAAGTTGAATTCCTACTCTTTTATGAAAAAATAGGATAAAAATAATTTTTAGAAAATTATATTTTTATATTATTTTTTAAAAATAACTATTAAATATGAGAAACTATATTTGATTTAAGATTATTGGAAAATAAAATTTTTTTTGCATACCAAATACCCCTTAAAAATATATTCATATTTAATCTTTAAAGTTTAAACATAATTTTTTAATATAATAAGCAGATCCGGTTTGTGTAATATTTTAATAATATATATTATTTGTTTTTGAAATTACACAAGTAATGGATTTATTAAATATATAGTTATTATAAACTAGTTTCAAATTATTTTTTCACTAACATCATGAATAAATAATTTTATAGTTTTTTTCATGAATTGAATAAATATACCTTAATATTTTTTGTTTATCATTTAATTTTTACATTGAAGGAGATTTAAGTTTTAAGTTTACGCAATTATTATTATTATTTCGTATTGTTTTGTTGATGAAGACAAGTATTTTAGTATTTATTTATTTAAGTTATGATTGTTTTTACTTTTTACTAACAAATAAGGAATTATAAAATAAATTGATTAAATATAAAGGTAATAAAATATAAGAGAGGAAAAAAAAAATATAAACCTTGAATAGCTTTTGTTTTCATCATCCATATGACATGCATGTGAATGTGAATTAGGAAAAGCAGAAGAGTGATAGTAAAAATAAAGAAAAGGGGTTGATTTTATCCACCTGGTACGTAGGATATTTTGTCCCCAGTCTCTCAGAATTAGTATAAAAATAGGGAGAAAGAGAGAGTGAATCGCAAATCAGAATGCAGAGATCAGGATATGGATCGGAGGGAATATTCAGGTCTCTAAGGCCTCCACTTGTTCTACCAAAGGACCCAAACCTCTCACTCCTTTCACACCTCTTCACCAGAGTCTCTGCCTTTCCCTCCAAACCCGCACTCATCGATTCTCACACCGACCAAACCCTCTCCTTCGCGCAACTAAGGTCGCTAACCGTTAAACTCTCCCACGCGCTCCTGCGCCTCGGCGTCACCAAAAACGACGTCGTCCTCTTCCTCGCGCCTAACGACATCCGCTACCTCGTCTCCTTCCTCGCCGTCACCGCACTCGGCGCTGTCGTCACCACCGTCAACCCCGCCTACACCACCGCGGAAGTCTCCAAGCAGGCCAAAGACTCCAATCCCAAACTCCTCGTCACCGTCCCCGAACAATGGGACAAGCTCAAACACCTCCACCTCCCCGCCGTCTTCCTCCGCTCCCACGCGCCGGCGCCGCCCGAGGCCGGCCACACCTTCGACGCGCTGCTCGAGCTCGCCGCGTCGGCGACCGAGTTTCCGAGTGTTAGTGTGGCTCAGAGCGACGCGGCGGCGCTGCTGTACTCTTCCGGGACCACCGGTGTCAGCAAGGGCGTGATTCTCACGCACGGGAACTTCGTGGCGTCGTCGTTGATGATTGGAATGGACGATGAATTGGCGGGGGAGATGCACAGCGTGTTCCTCTGCGTTTTGCCGATGTTTCATGTGTTTGGTTTGGTGGTGATTTCGTACGCGCAGCTTCAGAGGGGGAATGCGGTGGTGTCGCTGAAGAAGTTTGAGTTTGAGCTTGTTTTGAAGACGATTGAGAGGTTTAGGGTGACGCATTTGTGGGTTGTGCCTCCTATTGTCCTTGCTCTGGCCAAACACGGTTTGGTTGATAAGTATGATCTTTCGTCGTTGAAGCATATTGGTTCCGGCGCTGCTCCTCTTGGGAAAGAGTTGATGGAGGAGTGTGCTAAACGTTTTCCTCGTGTCAGTGTTTGTCAGGTCGATAATTATTCTTGTTATTGGTTAAGGTTCTGTTTGGATATACTTATGTGGAAGTACTTTTAGGAGGAGGAAATTGAAGTGTTTGTTGCTGTGGTTTCAGGGATATGGAATGACTGAAACTTGTGGGATTGTTTCTGTGGAGAATCCGAGGATGGGGATTCGGAATAGTGGCTCCGCCGGGCCGCTAGTTGCGAGAGTGGAAGCTCAAATAATCAGTGTGGATACGCTGAAGCCCCTGCCTCCTGGACAGTTGGGGGAGATATGGGTACGGGGTCCTAACATAATGCAAGGTACACTTCTGATTGCACTGCACTGCACTGTTAAGTTTATTGTATTCTGTGATTGCTATGGTACAAGATGTATGCTGTCAGATCTGAGGGGAGAGGCTGAGGTAACCTTATTTAGAGCTTAGGTCATTAGCAATGGAACTTATTCCCTAGGCCAGACAGGTTAAATGCATCTGGTTTAATACTCTGCTTGAATCTGCTTATTCTGCTCTTAGCTGCTTTAGTTACATCAATTATACATTTCCTCTCGCTCTTTCTCATCAAGAAAACAATTACTTGCTTTTAGTTTGGTGATACTTAATATAGGCTTGTGGGGATGAATTCATCTGATCACTAAACTGTGGTGGAGAGCATCATTCTGGTATGTGTCTTGAAGTTTTATCTGACTTTTTGAGTGGGATTGTACTTCCGCCTCTTCCTGTTTCACCCAATAAAGTTTTGTCAACATATCTTTTACTAGACATTAGATCATTCATTCCATAGGTAATGACAGATTGCGTTTAATTACAAGTTTTAACTGTTTCATGGAATGTTGCCAACAAACTGTCTCTTTCGGTGAAAAGTTATAAATTTTATTGGCAAAACCAATTGAGCACCAGTGCATACTGGAAAATGTTGCTTCCAATATTCCATGTTCTTGTATTAAAAAATGTTATGGATCGGCTGATATGCTTGCTTATAATCAGCACCAGATATTCTTGTTAATTGAACGAATTTTTTCTTTGATTATTTGGTTCTTGCCATGGTAGAGCTGGTATACAGAACATAAAAAAGGCTATGAATATAAGTTACTTTGGTTGTTGGGAAATTAATTTTTGAACTCTATTTATGTTTGAAAAAGGTTAATGCTGATTTATTACTGGAAGGAGATTTATGTCGCGATGTATTGAAATTTGGACCAATGGTTTTGGTATACATGTCTGCGTTAGATATTCTAGACATCGAGGGTCGTTAGTTTACTTCGGATGCAGTTTGTTTTTTATAGGTTCAGAAGGAGTATTCCGTAGGGTTTTTTCATGTATGCAATTTAAGAAAGCTATTACAAAACATTTCAGGTTATCTCAACAATCCACAGGCCACAAGATTGACTATAGATAGAAAAGGATGGCTACATACAGGAGATCTTGGATATTTTGATGAGGATGGGCAACTTTTTGTTGTTGACCGTATCAAAGAGCTGATCAAGTATAAAGGTTTTCAGGTATGTAATCCAAATGTCGCGTCAATGGTGAATATACAATTTATCTGACATGTCTAAATGCATGCATGGTCACATGTCTGAAATCTTCCCCGTTTAGTATAGTAGAAACATAATCCGGTACTTTGGTAGTTTGGTGCGTTAAAATGTGTTCAACCCCAATTTGTACCGGAAAATCAAGTTTAGTCACTTCGGTGCATTATGTGTTTGCTGCTCTGCATAGGTAATTATTTGTGCTTTTAAGTTATTTTCTGGTGGAGGATTTTCACCCTAATGAATTATTTTGCTATTTGTCTCATCGTTCTAATTAGGTTGCACCCGCAGAACTCGAAGGGCTTCTTGTTTCTCACCCTGAAATACTTGATGCTGTTGTCATCCCGTAAGTTTCACATACACGATCTATATTTAATTATGTGTACAGAAAAGGTACCTCTTATGTTATTGGTAATTGGAATTCATGGTTGACTTTCATTCTGTAGATATCCCGATGCTGAAGCTGGTGAGGTTCCAGTTGCCTATGTCGTTCGTTCCCCCAATAGTTCACTGACTGAGGAAGATGTTCAAAAGTTTATTGCTGATCAGGTTAGAGGCTAGAAAAATGAGCAAGATGCTTGGTCTCTGACTTGCATTCATGAAATTATAAGATCTTTGACTTGTGAAGACAAGGTGTAAATCTGGTTCTAAAAATATAGTTCAAAGAGTAAAAAAGAATGCATGTTTTAAATAGAACTGCCTCTTTATGTTCTATGTTTACGTCTCATAAACCTTAACCCTCCGGTTCCTAATAGTAACAAAGGATTTGAATATTGTTTGCATGCTCATCAGGCATCACGTAATGCCTTAATACAACATTAGTTAAGCGTACCCGTTTTCACCACTTGTCAATTGTCAATTGATCTTATCTAAACGATGGTGTGCGTATTTTCTTTTGTTGACACCTTTTTGTATTTGTTTGCAGGTAGCACCTTTCAAAAGATTACGAAGGGTGACCTTCACCAATGCTGTTCCCAAGACAGCGTCGGGAAAAATTCTCCGAAGAGAGCTTATTGAGAAAGTAAGATCTAAAATATGATGTCGTGATATAATTTATTATTTCTTAAAACTATTTTCGGGGTAAATTGTGGGGTAGAATGCAAGTTCAGAGCAAATTCCGATAGATATGTATCTGGCTGGGACTAGTACTGGAACACTTGGATAAGGGAGTACTCAATATTTCTCAGAAAATATATCAACTCATGTAAAATAATTGCTTTGCTGTTAAATAAAATAAACATTTACTTTCTGTCAAAAAAATCAACATTTACTTCACTTTCATACTCCATTATTATTACTAGAAAAAAGTACTTCGTGATTTTTTTTTAATGTGGGTAGTTATTATTTTGTATATGCATTCTTTTTCTATTTTATCCTTAGATATATATTTGTGAAAAAAATAACACCAAAATGAAATATATAAAAAATATTCTTTTATATATTGTTATTTATTATTATTATTATTATTATTATTATTATTATATACTTTTGTGAAGTTTTGCTAGAACATCAAAATTTGAGTAAAATGAAAATTGTAGTAATCTTATTTAACTTTTTTTATTTTCTAAAATAAAGTTAAAAATTTCTATTCATTGTCCCATATTATTTATTGACTATAACTTACTACCTTACACTGTATTCAAACAAATTTTACTTTGATCATTGTACAGTTAGTTAAGGTGTTTCGTTCTTATAAATTAAGATTTAGAATTAAAGTTGATTTTTTTTGTGTTTTATATCTTTATATGAAGATTTATATTGAAAGTGAGATTCAAGATCTGTAATTTTATTAAAAATCTTTTAAAAAATGTGGCTGGCTATAATTTTGCTTTAAGTTGTATTTTGTTCTGAAATTTTCCAAACACAAACAAATTTTACTTTTACTTTTGGATACAAGTTTTTTAAACAAGTAAATTTTATAGTCTTATTATAATTATAATACGTGCCATACTTAACATTAACTAGTACATTATGTCATTATCCGTGTGTTTGTTTCTCCAATGGATACGCACGTTAAGTATTAAAATCACGCCAGTTGAGTGAAATAATATAAAAGCTAAGGATTGTAGCTTCAACCTGATTCGGGTTCAAAATAGTGTTTTAAAACCCGGACCGACCCGGCCGGTCGGACCGGTTAGACCGGGAACCAGTGGTCCAGCCGGTTCGAATCTGAAGTTGGATCGGTTATGCAGTCGACCCGTTTCAAACCGGATTGAACCGGTCAATTTTCCAGTTCAACCGGTGAACCGGTGGGTCAAACCGGTTCAACCACATTTTTTTCTTATTTTTTTTTAAAATTTTTTTAAGGGACCATAAATCACAAAAATAATAATGAAAATTGAATCTCTTAATGAAAAAGTAAGGAGTCTTATTAAATATAACAATGACTACTTGTTCTAATATATTTGTTTGCAATATATACAACTTAAATAACTTTTATAGTATATTATTAATTTTAAATTATATATTTAATAATACAATATCTATGTAAATATTACATATATTATTTTGTGATATTAATTGCAAGCATATTATATATGTACATATTATTTATATTTTTAATTTGTATTAATATACCGTTTAACATGTAATTTTTTTATGTATTTTTTTACAAAATAAAAATAAAAATAATTTTAAATAAGATAGAAAAATTGAAATTTAAAATAAGATATGAATTTATTAAAATTTATAAGTATAAAATATATTTAATATAAATATTTTTTAATAAAAATCGAGTCATGCGGTTCAACTAGTGACCCACCGGTTCAACCTTTGACCCACTGACCCAGTACCTTAACCGGTTCGATGACCGGTCCGGTTTTTAAAACTATGGTTCAAATAGTTGTAACGCTCAGTTAAACGTGTCTTATCATCAGTATTTCAACTCGGATGTGACACCTTATAGTCTTATATGCCTACTACTTTATTATAGAAAAATACTGAATATTCGGGAATTTTTGCCAAAAACGACCTTACATTAATCTTGTCTATTATATTAAGAGTTAATCACCTATATATTATTAGTGTAAATTTTTTTATACTAACAATTAATCAGAGTAATTAATAGTACTTTTTTATTTTAATTTATTAAATGAGTAGATGAAAATATACTATTAACAATTTTGATTGACTGTCGGTGTAAAAAAAATTTACACTGACAATATATAAATAATTAACTCTTATATTAATGCGTCCAAGTTGACCTGTGTTTCTAGGCCTTACTGTCAAGCACAATCATTGCAATAAATAGTTAGTGAACCATTGAGGAGAAAATCTTTATGTCTATATGTCAACGTTTTCTTTCTTCCTCTCTTTTGGAAGATTGGCAAGAATATGCACAAAGAACCCTAAAACAGATCGGGTTTCCATATACATCTCAGTTATTAGTTGATTGAACCGAAACAAGTGGTGAGAATAAGATAAAATAAAAGAAAATGCCAATATGGAACAAATGGTTAATGACTTTGAATAATTGGTTGAAGCTACCAAGATTTGGTCATGAGCACCATCGAAAAGGAGACCCATCTCTCCACAAATCTCAAGCTGATGAATTCATTCGCTATTCAACGCCCTTTTGGTATTATTGCTACTATTGGGAAAATTTAAACAGTATGAAATTGTTTCGCATGAACATGCTATATAAGGATAATGTTAAACGTTTACCCTGTTTTGGAACAGAGGAAAAAGATGATAGATATAAGATGTGTGTGGATCATTATCATTTCGATTCATATTATATTACTACTACTACTAAACACTCGTAACCCTTAATTAATCCACCATTTTATAAATATAATAGTTGATTGATCTCATGTTTTGGATTTGATTGAGACACTAAGCAGATTGTACCATACCAATGTTTCACGTTTAAATTAGTTCAGTAAACAAAATAATATATATGCTTGATTTACTCAAAAGTATTTTGTGAATTGATATGTTTTGGCTATCGCAAATGAGAATCAGCTAGAATTCAAGGATATGGAAGCCTCCTTTACTACTGGTGAAAAAAAAGAAGAAGAAATATATTATGAATTCTTCTACCATTCTTATTTATTGTGATGGTATTTATAAGGATTATAATTGCGAATCATTGGCTCTCTGCAAATGACAGCAACAGAAAATGGAATCTAATAATAGTAATAATATCCTAACAAACTCTAGCAATAATATCTATCAATGACACTTAAGAGTGAAGCAAAATAATCCTCTAAATGTGATTCACAATAGTTACTCAAAGTCATTCAAATAATTAGGCCTCCTTATGTTTCTCTTGGGCCTAACATCTTGGATTGGGGTGGCATTAAGGACTGGGTTGCTATCAGAATCAAAGTAAACTATATTTTATTTTTTAAAAAATGTTCACTAAACGTGAAAGTAAACACATTCTGTGCAATTTTTTTCTTTGTATTTAATCCTAAAATGAAAAATATTTTAAAAAATAGAAATGTTTTAGCAAACTATACACATCTTAATAAATAGGAAAATGCTGTATCCTTTTCCTTTACTGCAAGAGATGCGAAATTATAATTTGGTGTATGTTCTTAATGATGGTTTCATGAGAATGACATGTGTAATCTCCACTGGTAGAGTATTAATTGTTACGTAAAATTCATAATCTATATATATTATGAGTAATTTGTATTCTTATTAAAAAAATTACTTTAATGTGTGGTTTTTAAAATTGAGAGCTGGGACAAGTGTTTCCATCATCATTAATTATTGTTAGTATTAAAATAATGTTGGTCAACGAAAATATATTTTGTGTAAATTATTAATTATAAAATATTACGTAAATTATATTTATAAATAATTTTTTTAGAATTGAATTTAATAGTAATACACTATTTTACACAGTCAATCACTCAAAAATCACTGTTTATGAGTCAACAAATTAATCATTTATGATTGATTATAATATAAAACTATTTTACATTGTTGAAAATAAAAAATTTATCTTCTATTTTTTACGTATAATAATGAGAGAATATACAAAAATAATATAAGATAAATAAGAAAAAATTACAATTTTATTTAATGTGACTTGATTTCTCATGTTTATGTTCACAAAGATATTATATATATATAT